ATGGATGGATGGATGGATGGATTTCTTGATAAATATGTATGTGGATCAAATTCAATCACAGTCAGTCAGACAGACCTTCAGTCAAATAATCCCAAATGTTGATTATCTCTACTCTAGATCCATCTGTGTGTCAGTAAAAGTTCCGGCAAGAAATATCTCCTCAAGGAAGTCCAGGAAGGGCCAGACAACTGCATCCTTGCTGCAAGACTGGTAATGACTTATTTATGCTCACTTGGTTGATAATAATCAGAAACCCAAGGGTCTCATTGTTGATCAAGGTTGATCATTAATGTTGGCTCCGCAGATCCTCCCAGGTCCTCCCCAATAGATTGGGCCGAATCACATTCTTCATGCCGTGAGGTTCAAAACAAAATCGAAACATTGTTACCTTAGAACAAAAACAATATGTCTGTCACTAATTTGATAGGCTAACCACGGTTGAGCACTGTAAAGAGAGAACATTGATAAACAAGATACTTGAGCAACAGAATTTTATTAACTTCTCTTTTGTGTTAGCAAGAGAGCATAAATAAGAGAGGAAACCTTCTTAATAACGCGCACGCCATATAAATTCCTACTTGGGCTATTTTTAGTAACCGTATGCAGTTAGTTTTTTTTGTTTTTGTTGATCACTAAAAACAAAACGGAAAGAGCACGCGCGCGCAAGTTGATGACGCACCGGAGTAGGGTAAGGCAAAATTTAAACTGCATMCGGTTACTAAAAATAGCCTAACCAGGAATAGACCCGTTTCGAGTTCCAAATTACCGCTGTGTTTCTTGATTACAGAATCATTTGCACAGGGTTAGCCTCGAGTTTGTGCAGAATATTCACGTGTTCCAGTCARGGTCCGTCGAGTTTCAAAGTGTTTGTATTGTTGAAGTTGTGCATTCTTTACTTTTCTGTTGGTGTTTGTGAATATTTAAACACTGATACGAGGCTAACCCTGTGCAAATGAGTCTGTAATCAAGGAACACAGCGGTTATTTGGAACTCGAAACTGGACTATTCACTTGGCGCGCGCGTTATTAAAGTTTCCCTCTCTTAATTATGCTCTCTTGGTATTAGTCATTACTTAGTTATTATTGGTTATTTAATAAGTTTAATTTTAAACTTAATATCAGAGAAAAGACGAAATTCAGGATTTAAAAAACGTTTCAGGCAAACTTTGGAAAACCTTAGGATCACTGGTCGCTCGACCAATCACAGCGCGCGAAACTCTATATTCAAGTCTAAAATTAAAGCAATAGTTATTATTATTGATAAAAATTTTTGTTGTTTTCGTTTTTGCCAAAATTATTTCATACAAGTATTTTTTCTCCTTAAATTAATCATGGTCTATTTTGTAACTTTTTGTAAATTTTGTAGGCAATTCCAGAGAAACAACTTGTTGCAAAGAAAAGACAGCTCCGAAACACGTGCGATTTCCTGAAAGAGACTAAGATCAGAGAAGACACAGTCAACCGTTTGAAAAAAATCGTAGAACAACTGCAGTCCAAGCTGAAAAAAGACTACTTTAGCTTCTGTAAAGAAAACGTGGATTGCACCAACTGTGAGAAAACCAAAACAAAGCTGGAGCTTCTAGAGAAAGAATCATCTCTATTGCATCACACGCTGGATAAGATGTTGAGTGATAACAGGAAACTATCGATCACAGGGATCCCAACTGATAAAATTTACAATCTGGCAGAAAGGRCGTATGGGATCTGTGAAGACCACAAGGAAATGCACTCGGAGATAAGAAAGATTAAAAGACGGTGTAGTCAGGAGTTCCTTGATGTAAAACATGAAATACAAGAACCACCAGATAAAGGTGAAGAAGAAGTGGATAACTTGGAGATTGACGATACCTTAGAGGTGAGTTTAGAGAATGGAAAATTTCAAAGCGCTCTTTGTCAAACAACGCCGATTTCAGTCCAGCGGTGAACTAAACCAGCACCTACACAGTACCACATGCCGTAACATTGAAATGGTTTACCATTGTCTTCCAGTAAATAWTGCATCCATTCACAACGCGTAGTTATGGCTACGTTGACAAATGCAACATTACTGCGCATGAGCAGACTATTATTTGCAGCAAAACGGCTTTGAACCTTAATGCGCATGAGCAGAATATTATAATTTGTAGGCTGTTATTCGCAGTTATTTCGACCAATCAAAAGCATAGAAAATATTATTTGAATGATAAGGATTCTAGTTTGACACTGATGAAGAAGATGACCTTTCATAAGTACGCCGGACTTCCCCAAGGTCCACGGACGTGCAATACCCTGATCTTGGTACTATTTTGTACGAGCATTTTTACGGGCTAAGCAGGGATTTTCTCGCGCTGTGGTTACTTCAATAAATGTATTCAATTCTGTAACGTGGMGCTGTCTCTCTCTTTGAAACACGGTCTGCCGGCGTGCATTGAAATTGAAATTCTAAATAAAGTTTCTTTTCATTAGTGCACTTTGAATATTCTTCAACATTTTGCCCGAAGAAGAAAAGTGGTCCAGTCTCTTACCCCCAAACGGCGTAAAGAATCCAAGGCAGTCCAGGTATGTTGTACAATGGGGCGGGGGAATGGGGGGGG